GTCCCAGGAGGCGAGGCGGGAGGCCGTGAGCAGGCCACAGCGTGTCTCCCCAGGCCTGGTCCTCATACCCCTGGCCAGCCGGTGCCCGGGCGCAGTGAGGGGCCGAGCCTGGTGAGGGGGGCCAGCCTCGCCGCCTGGGGCGCGGCTTCCCTGCGGGGAAGAGGGGCTGTGGGCTTGAGCCTGCCCCGTGCGTCTGGGCCCGGGCGGCCGGGTCACGCCTCCTTGTGCCGCAGTGACCAGGCAGGGGTCAGACGTGAGCCAGACCGAGGCGGACGGGCCGCCTGGCTCCTGCTGCCTCGGGAGCCCCGAGCGGGCCCGGGCTGTGCTGTGTGACTTGGGGCAAGTCCCTGCCCCTCTCTGGGCACCGACTCTAAAGCCGGCGAGAGGGTGCCGAGCCCTGGACACTTCCGGGGGCCTCTGGCTTGTTCCCCTGCCCGAGGCCCCTATGGGCCAGCCCCCTCCCCTGAAAAGCACCTTGAGGTGGTGCTGGGGTGTCTCTGGCTTCCCAGCCGCGGCCTCATTCTTCCTGGGCTCTGCTCCTGCCGGTGCGACGAGCTCCCCGCGCCCTGGCCCTGCGGGAGCCCCCAGCCTCTGGCTGCACCCCCTGCGTGGGGGGCCCACGGCCGCACGCTCTGCCTCCCCTCCCCAATGGAAGCCGAGACAAGGGGATTATTTTTGGAACGAGAGCGGTTACACAACAAATGAATTATTTATCTTTGGGCATGGAGGAGAAAAGGCATTTTGCTGGGCTTCTTAACTCTTGATCTGGATTGGGGGGTGCCCCGGGGGTGCGTGGCCGTGTGGGAGGCCCGCCGGTGCGTGCAGGGCGTAGGGGTGTGTGTGCGCCCGAGTCACGCACGCGTGCCCGGCAGCCCTGGTTCCCGTGGGGGCAGGCGGGTCTGCGTGAGGGCTGGTGGCGTGTCGGGGCGTGTCGGGGTGCGTGTGAGGGTGTGTGGGCGCCTCCCTGCTACTCTCCGGTCTCCCTCCTCTGCCCACTGTCTTCGGACTCTGCCCCTGCTCTCCCGACGCCCCCTCCCCCCCCTCTGTTGCCGCCCACTGATCTCCCTTTTTCTGCGTAACAGGGACCCCGAGTGTTGCTGGCACAGAAGATCCCCAGGAGAGGGGAGAGAGGGGGCCGGGGCGGCGGCGCTGGAGCTCGGGGGGCCTCTCGGAGCCTTCGCACTGATCTGTCGCCCCCTCTCGGTGCTGCCTTTCAGGAACCAGGTGACAGATGGGTCTCTTCCTTCCTGCCCCCATCTCTGGCGCACCCCCTCAGAGCTCCACTCTCCAGCCTCCCGCGGGAACCGTCTGAAGTTCTGAGCCCGGAACCCGAGGAGGAAGAGGAGGAGGAAGTGGTGGAGGCGGGAGAGGGACTCGAGCCTGATCCTGCGCG